AAGACTTGCCTCCTCATCGTCTTCAGCAAGGACGAGTTCCCTGAGGTCTACGTGCCCACTGTCTTCGAGAACTACGTGGCAGATATCGAGGTGGATGGCAAGCAGGTGGAGCTGGCCCTGTGGGACACAGCTGGGCAGGAGGACTATGACCGCCTGCGCCCCCTTTCCTACCCGGACACTGATGTCATCCTCATGTGCTTCTCTGTGGACAGCCCGGACTCGCTGGAGAACATCCCGGAGAAGTGGGTGCCTGAAGTCAAGCACTTCTGCCCCAACGTCCCCATCATCCTGGTGGCCAACAAGAAGGACCTGCGCAACGACGAGCACGTGCGCAATGAGCTGGCCCGCATGAAGCAGGAGCCGGTGCGCACCGAGGATGGCCGCGCCATGGCCATCCGCATCCAGGCCTATGACTACCTGGAATGCTCAGCCAAGACCAAGGAGGGTGTCCGGGAGGTCTTCGAGACCGCCACCCGGGCAGCCTTGCAGAAGCGCTACGGCACCCAGAATGGCTGCATCAACTGCTGCAAAGTCCTATAGGGTGCAGCCGGAGCGCGGCGCTGGTCACAGCGCCTGGGTCACCTGTTGGCAGGCGGAGAGGAGCTGGGTTATGCACGCACACGGCATCTGCCTGTCACCCCTGCTGGGGGCTGGCGATGAATCGGGGTGGGGGCTGAGGGAGGGGGTGTGCTCCCTTTGCCTTGGCTGAAAAGGGGTGTGCTGGCTCAGCCGTGGGGACAGAGGGAGGGGGGGATTGCATGCCCTGTGTCTTGGGAGTAAAGTGGGGAGAAGCCTTCTCCCACCACTGGCCCCTGTGAGTTAGTTACAGACTCTCAACAACAGAAAAGCTGCTGAGACTGGACTGAGCAAACATTGCACCCGGCTCTTCCCCTCTGCCCGCCGCCTGCTGCTCCCAGCTCCCAGCCAGCCTCCTCTCTTTTGCAAGAGGAAAGCGGTGGAGCTGAGATGCTCGAAGGGACTTCTGCCTCCTGCCTGCATGTGCCTCCTCCCAGGTGTGCTGGGGAAGGAGGCTGCATCTCCTGGGCTGCCTGCAGCATCCCTGCCTCTCCCGCAGATGTTTCGGCCTGAGCCTGACCTGCTGTGGAAGTTAGTGCCCTGAAGATCGAGACTGGGAGGGGAGGGTCGTCCCAAGCAAAGCCTGTATATATCTTACCTTTTCTGTCTTGTGCAAACTTGGGGTAGTGCAGGGGGTGCTTATTTAAAGTGAGGTGGGGAGGGGGTGCCAGCGGGGACTTGTGTTGTGCAAAGGAACTCGCCCTGAGTGACTGATGCCTGCTGATAACACGAGCCTTGGACTGACTCCAGCTGCAGAAGCCACCTGGCTGGAAAGTAAAGCTGAACTGCTCTGTCCTCCTTGCTGGACATCCTCCTCCTGACGGACGGGGCAGGATGAGCAAGGGGGAAGGGGATGATATTGCCATACTATGCTCTTGGTGCCTGCTCCTTCCTTTAGTGTTGTCTTCTGCAAGTATGTTGATTTGGGTTTATTTAAAAGTTTTATTTTCAAAAGAAATTACTTTGCAAGCGTTGGCAGGTTTTGTTTTGTTTTGTTTTGTTTTTTTAACGAAACTCTCTGCACTTGCCATCTGCATACAACACTGTAGCATTGGAAACATTCTTACTCGGTAACCTTATCTGGGTCTTGTTTTAAATTGTGAATTCAACACAAGACGAAATAAAACCACTGTATCTTTTTTGCCTTGGAAAAAATGTGTGAAAGCACTGTTCCTTATGCAGTGAGTAAATCAGACATTAATACTAAAGGGCAATTTAGAGAATCTAGGTTTATTTAAAACTTTTATTTTCACCTGGGTTGGCTACCCTGTGAAAATAATCTTGTGTTTCTCTGGTTCAGAGAACAAATGTATCCATTTATGTTTGTTTACTTTTATCCCTCTTCCCTCAATAGTGGTACTGAGACTGTTTCTGGTTTTGTTTTTAATAAACTGACATGGCAAAAACTGAGATGTATATGATGTTTACATAAAATTATGAACTGTGTATGCAGTTTTTTTTATGTAAAGTATTAAAAGATTCTATGCTGACATTTGTGAGAGCAGCATTGTGATTTATGAAGACTGTCCTCGGCTTGCAACAATACACGTGGATGGTGTTGAACTCCACCAGAGTTTGCCCACTGCCTGCATGTGGTCCTATTCGTACTTTCTCCACTGGCTGAAATACCTGTCTGGCAGCTTTCAGAGGAACGGTGATTTTATTTTCCTTTGGGGGAGCTGCTTCCTTAATTTTTCTGTACAGGTGACACGTGGAAGTGTACTCAAAATTCAAGGGGGTGACTAATCCATCCTTGTTGCTGCTCAGCACGAGAAGCCTCCGTGCCTTGTGCACGGTGAACGTGAGCTCCAGTTCCCGGTGCTCCTTCACCCTCTGCCGTTGCTGCCTGTTAGCAGCTGGGGCGAGGTTTGGGCTTGTGTGGCAACAAAACAGGCAGAAAACTGGAAAGTAGCAGAAGCGATAGGGCTTATTTTTCAAGTGAAATATTCAGGTAAAAGCATTTTTTGTTAGCGATCTCCCCTTTGCTCGTAGCGAACACCCCTGTTGCTGCAGCAGGAGTTGTGGACGGACTTTTCTCACTGTTAAACTAGAAGCAGGAGGCTACGCTTGTGCTGCAGCAGTCTCCCAAGCCACCCAGCTACGTTTCCTAATCGCCGCCCTCATTAATTCCCACAGCAGTGCCAAAAGTCTAGGCCTCTCCATGTCAGGGATCCCCAGTGGGGCATCGTGCCGGCCTCTTCCGTTGCGGTCTGTGCTTCAAGATGTGCTTGGTGCCCTGGCTCGGGTGCCTGGGCAGGTGCAGGCAGGAGCACCAGGTGCTGCCCCCAGCCACTCCTGGCAGGAGAGGCGGCTTGGTGCAAAATGCATTACGTGGTTTTTGCTGAACAATAAGGCCTGTGCCCAAAGTGCTGATATCTCCCCCCACCCCTTTTTTTTTTTTTCCTGAAAAACTCCCTTAGGCACCTATAAAGGAAATCTCAGGATGGTTTTATATTTTTGTAAATCCTCTCGACTCCTTTTGTAGAGATGTGAGAAAGCAGTGGAGCCTTTTGTTTTTCTGGCCTATGAATATCTGCCAGGGTGCTCTGGATCATTCAGAAATGTTAACAAATACCAAGGCAAGACAAAAACATTCAGTGGCTTTTGCTTGTTGGTTCACAGAGGGCTCTGCCAGTCTCCCACTGAAAGCAATGGGGCTTTTTTGACAAACTAACGTAGAAATATCAGGCTCCTTACTCGACAACAGGAAAGTCCATCAGAAATAGTGGGGAAAAATCTGGGTTTGCCTTTTGAAGACTTCAAATGCTAGAGTACTTGCTTAGTCCATGCCGTGACTTTATTGTGTTGTTTCCTATGATCCTTAATGAAAGATTGTGGCATTCTCACTTACACAATTTAGCGAGGATTTCTTAAAAGGTACCCGAGCCTCATGCTTTGGTTATCTGTCTCCAAAGATTTCAATTTTCCTGATACTCAAAGGGTGAGTTTCTTATCTTCAATTTGAGAATCCTAAAATCACTTTTTGATCCTAAATATCATTTGGGAAAAAAATCTGGTTTGGATGTTTAAAGGGCCACGACCAAAGACCTCGTTCTTGCAAAAGGCACTCAAAAGCTCGGTTTTGTTCATTGTAACACCGTTCTGTACAGTATCAACCAGTGATACTACAATCAGAGTGGGAAACCTTTTCCTGAAACTGATTGCAATGGCTGTAAAACTTATAAATTCTGTCAGGCTGCAGCAATAACTAATCTTCCCAAAACCCTGAAGGAGAAAGCCTTAATATTTGTATGTTAAACACTGGGAAATGACTTAGCATTGCATCCCTGTATAATTAACTATACCAATATTTTCCACTAAGGTGCTTACAAGGTAATTACATTCATTATTTCCAGTTGGGCCTTTGCCCAACTCAGAGCTACAGCATCTGGCCCAAGGGGGAAAAGCTGCAAGAAAACACATTTCGATTTTAACTGAGCGTGACCTTTCTCTGCTACTTGTGAAGCTGTGAGTAAGCCGACAGAGTGAGATCACCGTGTGGGAGTCCACCCGTCGGGGTCAGAGGGTGGATCAGAGCCATAACTCGTTTTGCTTTGTGCCACATCGCTGCGCTTGCTCATTAGCGTCAACTGCTCTGGTGGAGGGGGACACGAGGGAGGTGCGGCTCCCCCCACCCTCCGTGACTCAGCCACCCTGACATGGCCAGGCTGACGCCCCGGGGCCGCACTGGCCTCCTTGTGAGGATCACACCAACCAGCTCCACCCCACAGCTATGTCTGCCCCAGTGTCACACCGGGGGTCTGCCCACTGCCAGGGCCAGCCAGACACCCGAGTTCGGGGCAGGCCACCTGACAACACACATCATCTGCTCAGATAGAGGATTGGTTTCAGTGAACCTTCCCATGCTTGTCTTCTTCTGAGTCCCTAGCTTGTGTTCATCCAGTCCCAGTTTGGCTTCTGCAATCTTTTGACAGGAGAAGAGGTGACACTGAGTGAGTTATTTAGAGCATCAAAGAAAGGTCAACAACCAACTCATCTCATAGTCCCTGTGCACACTGCTGGGCATGCAGACACTTTCCTGGCTGTGTCCACATGGCCGCACAGATGTCCTCAGCTGAGGAAAGGTTGCGCATTCAGTTACTCTGTTTGGGCCAAGTTCAACCTCTGCAAAAGGTGTTTCTTCTGGTGGGAGCCAGAGCTCCACCAAGGGAGTTTGCCTCATGGTGATATCAGTGCATTCTTAGCAGCAAATCCTGGAAATGTAGAAAAACCTCACTGAAAGGCTCATTCATCTCCATCGCTCTCTGTCCAAGTGAGGGGGCTGCTTATTCACTCCCATCCCAAAACTGGGTTGGATGGTTGGGTGCTGTAACAGTGTTAAAGGTGACTCATCTGGGCAGCCTGAAAGTGAAGCCACCCAGGGAAGGTCAGTATCGCGTTCTCCCCTTATGGAGATACAGCAACTGTAGCTGTGATTAGTCATAGAATCACAGAATCATGGAATGGTTTGGGTTGGAAGGTACCTCAAGGATCATCTAGTTTCATCTGGCCTTGAACACTTCCAGGGATGGGGCATCCACAGCTCCTCTGGCCAACCTGTTCCAGTGTTTCACCATGCTCATTGTAAAAATTTCTTCCTTGTGTCTAATCTAAATCTGCCCTCTTTCAATTTTAAGCCATGTCCTATCACCACATGCCCTTGTAAAAAGTCCCTCTCTAGCTTTCTTGTGGGCTCCCTTTAGGTACTGGAAGACTGCTAGAAGGTCTCCTCAGAGCCTTCTTCTCCAGGCTGAACAGCCCCAAGTCTCTCAGCCTGTCTTCACAGGAAAGGTGCTCCAGCCCTTGAATAGTCTTTGTGGCCCTTCTCTGGACTTGCTCCAGCAGCTCCATGTCCTTCTTGTGTTGGGGACTCCAGAGCTGAATGCAGTATTCCAGGTGAGGTCTCATGAGAGCAGAGTAGAGGGGCAGAATCATCTCCCTCGACCTGCTGGCCATGCTTCTTTTGATGCAGCCCAGGATACGATTGGCTTTCTGGGCTGCAAGTGCACATTGCCAGCTCATGTTGAGCTCTAGCTTCATATCATCAAGCCTAGGATCTGGAGGCCATATGTATGTACCTGTGTGAACTATATGAGAGACACTGGAATAAGTTCCCAGAGAAGCTGTGGATGCTCCATCCCTGGCAGTGTTCAAGGTCAGGTTGGACAGGTCTTTGAGCAACCTGGTCTAGTGGAAGGTGTCCCTGTCTATGGCGGGGGGGGGTAAATAGATGATCTTTAAAGGTCCCTTCCAATCCAAACCACTCTATGGTTCTATGATTCTAGGTCTTTAAGCGCTTTATTTGAGCAGCCTGATGTATTGGATAGACATTTTTTTTCAATGCCAATAGAGGAATGGAGTAAGTTCTCTTCCCCCTTCTCCCCGTCTTCCTTGAATTTTCCTCAATTCGTGTTGAGAGCAAGGAGTTTTCTCCAGATTTGCTCCCAGTGACAGTGGTAAGCCGCAGCCCGTGATAAGCTGCGGCCAGGTAGGTCAAGTTTCATGGCCAGGCGCTCATGCCCTGAGCAGAAGGACCGACCTCTCCAGTTCTTCAGAGTCCGTGAAACAAGAGGTTTGCAGTTGCCTGTAAGAGGTGCCTATATGTGTCAGCAGTGTATTATCCACCCGTAATTCAGCAGTGAGTACCATTTGGTGTAACAATAACTATGGGCATATCTGCTTTTCTTGATTGAAATATCAAACTGATGCTAAAAGGGAGGCTGTAAGAACGGGGGTTAAAACTGGAGGCATATATGCAATACCTATACTGAACTGGAGCAGCATAGCAGGAAGAATATTAGGTTGGTGCCTACAGCACATCCTAAACGTACATTTTCCCCCCACTTTACTAGTCTCTGTGTTTTTTTTGTGTGTGCTAAATCTTGCTTCCAAGCAAAGGGGAGTAGTGGGTGGGATTTTGC